AAAGACCAAAAAACAAACAAAAACCCCCCCACGTCTCTTAATTAGAACTGTCACGTATCATCTGGACCCCTTTGGCACGTTGCTAAAATAACAGAACAACTGCTGATTAGGAGAAAAAACAAGTTGTTCTTAGGAAGCATGGAGGCAGTGATGAAGAGGTCTTGATGTGGCAGAGAACAGACGCTGCAGTCGTCACTCGCTCTGTTAAACGTTGGCCGCCTTATCTGACGGAGTTATCCCGAAACCCCCTCTGAACAGCTACCCTTGAAACGTCAGCACCATCATACTGTAGATCATACAGTACGGCCCCTCCTGGAATACAAGTCAACTTGGCAGCGCTGGACTACTGCGCCACAACCCCCCTGCACCTTGTTTTTGTTGAACTTGGTCCAAGTCTTTCTTATAAATATATTAGGAAGTTTTTTTCTTCTTTTTTTGGCAATACATAGAAGTTTATGTATCTAAGCCCACACATTTTTTTCCTCATTTTTTCAAGTAGTAGCAAAAACTACTCTAATAGTTTTTATTTATCTATGATAGTTTCTTAAGGAACACCTGTTCTCGTCGCTCCTGCTTGATCAGTTTTTCTGTCAAATTACTCTTTAATATCTAATGAAGAGGAATTATCCCGTACGGTATACTTTGTACCCAGTCAGCTTCTTTAAATGTATATTTTCAAGTGATTTTTAAAGGGCTAGTTGTGTTAATGTTTATGAAGCAGTCACACTATTGTGATCCATTTTCCTTCCGTACATTTTTCGTCAATTTGCTCTAGTTCCACAATTTTGTGCCATTTCAACAAATCATAAATCAAAACGTTCAGCTTCTTCAGAACAATCCTGCTACGACTTTTGGTATTGTTGCAACTTTAGCTTTTTGAAATAGCCTTTTCTGCCATTTTTTCCCCTCGTAGTAAATTAATTGAGCTCATTTTCCATCCTTCAGATCTTTAGATCTGTTTACAAACTTTTACTGCTCCTTTCATGTTTTGTTCTGGTTCAGCTTCTTTCAGCTTCCTGGTACAAATTTAATTTAAACTTTTTTTTCAGCTACTTTCAGCTAATTTCAGCAGTTTTTTAATCTTCTTTCTGCTTTTATAGATTTTTTTGTTTGTTGCCAATTTCAGTTTTTTAAAGCTAATTTTGTAATGTTTGTGATCATTTCTGCTTATTTAAACCTAATTAGTCAAATATGTGTCCTTCCTGCTTTCTTCTGCTAATTTAGGCTTGTTCTTCCATTTCAGCTACATTTCAGCATGTTTCTTTTAGCTAATTTCAGCTGTTTTTCAGCAAGTTCTTCTGCAATAAGCATTCAAACTGCATTTTCACATGAAATACAATTTCTCCAGTTATATTTATTGTCCACCACCAATTGCAAATTATGTATGACGGGCGATCATGCTTGTGTGTGTGTGTGTGTGTGTTTGTGCATGTTCGCTTCTCTGAAGTGTTAACAACTATCTCATGATCCACTAAGTAGATTTTATTGGATCTCTCAGAAAATAATCATCAAATGTAATGATTAACTGTTTGAGAAGATCCAGTTCAAGATGGCTGCCACAGCTAACCTTAGCTCATGCAAAAATGACTATTATTTAGCCAGTTTTAGCAATTTTCAACTAAAAACTGGCAGCTGAGAATTGTGTCAAACCTTTACTCATAAAAACTACCTGATCAGGTGAGATATTTCCATTAACTACCGAGGTAATTAATGTTTGTCTGTTAGCAAAATATCTCATAAAATACTGGACCAAATGTAATGAATTGTTCCTGAATAATAACTAGATGTACAAACACAATATGCATTCAATATGCATTGATTTAAGAAACGCTAGGCATTTAATTAATTTCATTCATTTTTTTTTTTTACTTTATGACAAGAACGTCAAAGGGTCTGTTAAGTTGTCACATTTAATTTCCCTTCCTTCAGCTGTCAAGACTATATTAGTCGTTGTGTTTATACATAAAGCATTGCCTTTGATTAAATAGAGAACGTTCTCCTACACGACTGCAGCTCAGTCATATATTTGATGAGAGGTGGGACTCGGGTACAGTAACTTTCAAGGCTTTTCCTTATTTTTCTTGAGATGATTTCAGCTCATAGTTTCATAATAAAAACAGACAATTTGCCTTTATCTGTATTTTATGTTTTATGTTAAGTTTATTCCTCGCTGGTTTATTTTCAGTGTTCTGTTCCTCTGAGTTTCCCCGTGCCATTAGTTCATGTGGAGCTCCTGCTCCTCAGTTTGGCCATGCTAATTCACACCTGTTCCCTGTCTCATTGTGCTCAGCTGTTTCCCATCTCCTCGGCAACCCCACTCCATTGTTTCCCTCAGTTTCTATGTACATACACCGTGTCTGATGCTCATCTGTGTTCCACAATGGAGCTTTAGGGCCACGCTAAGAAAAAAAAAATTACATTGCCACGCTCAGAATTTTTTTTTTTAAGCCATAAAATTACGTGAATAAAGTCATAGTATTACAAGAATAAAGTCGAATAAAGTCTTAATATTATGAGAATAAAGTCGTACGAGACTTTTTTTCAGCTCTCGTGTTTTTTTTCTTCCACGAGTCGGATCCATGACGCGACCTGTCATTCAATCCAGACCAATCCGAAGCTAAATGAGTCGTAATATTATCCGAACATGATAAAGCAGGGTTTACCGCATTTTAACTGTGGTAAAAGATGATGTTGACCATCTTGTTAAATTATACTTTTGTACTGGTTTTAGAAATAAGCTGCCAAGATCTAACTGTTGAGTTTGCCGTCCTCCTAATATTGTCCAAATGGTCATTTTACACAATAAGGCTTTACGTGTCTTGGTTATAGTCAATAATGTGTACATAAAAAAAAAAAAGATTACTCAAATATTAGATTTTATAAGTGGTGTTAAAAGATAGATTTTAAGATGGTAACATGCCAGTGCTCATGAAGAACACTTTACTGCAAAGAGAAGGACCACGTTCAGATGGATGGACAATCTGATAAAATGAAGCAAGTGTATTTAACATGTATTGTTCGCATAACTTGAGATTTTGCATGGCATTTAAGCTTCCCAAGTGCCATGTCCTTTACTGTGATGTTCAGATTTTGACCTTTTCCTACCAGAGTGTCATTCTATATGGCTAAGGACTCAGCTCCCAGCAGAATTACATGCAGTGTGGGTTTCCTAATGTGCAGAAGATGACGATATTGTGTGCGCTCTTTGGCTCGTATCATTTAGCAGAGATTATACATGTGGAGCAGATCATGGCTGATTATGGATAATCGAAGGGCTTGGATGGTCTAATCATGAAGGCTGACTTAACCTTAATATCATGATATGCTGTTATAGGGATTATCTTTTGAATCTCCACCGAACAGAGAATGCTTATCCACTCTGAATGGCTTTTCTAAATAAGTCTACTTCATATTTTATTTCTGTTGTAAGGTTCTGTTGGCGATAGCTCTTTGGACTTCTACGTCCACTTGTTTGGTCAATCCTTCTCCATGCTGTAGAACATTGGACTCTGAATGTTGGGGTTGAGAAAGTATCTGCTACTGACCCCTGCCTCAGTTCCACTGGTTCTCTCTCACACTACAAATGTTGTAGAGTCCATTGGAGCTCATAACTCCTTGATTACTTGACACCAAGTAATGTAAAATTAACATTAATGGTATTTTACAGTATCTGGATGAACCGCCGTGAGCATGACGGCTCAGTGGTTAGCACAGTTGCCTCACAGCAAGAAAGTCCTGGGTTCAATCCCCGGTTGGACCTGGGGTCTTTCTGTGTGGAGTTTGCATGTTCCTCTCGTGCTTGCGTGTGTTTTCTCCGGGTATTCCGGTTTCCTCCCACAGACCAAAAACATGCGTGTTAGTCTGTCTTCAGGCACAGGCCTCCCTTTGCAAAAGAGATCTGAGATCTCAATGGGATTTGCCTGGTTAAATAAAGGTAAAAAAAAAAAAAAGAATTCAGAATTAAACTCCAAATTTACGCCGTTCAAAGAACCAACTACCGTACAAGTATTATACTCATTTTACATGATCTTATACCACTTCAAAAGATCAGAATGATCTTTTTAAATCAAAATCTCAAAGGAAATTGTTTGTATTTGTTAAAATTTTCAAACTTGAAAGCAAATTTATTTACTAAAATATTCATAGGTGCAAAGTGAGGGAGTGGTGGCACAGAGGTTAAAGAGGGTGGGCCTGTGATTGGTGGGTCGACGGTCAACTCCCCAGTTCAGCTCCCCAGACCGATAACTTGGATAACTTGAATAACTTGAAAAGGTGAAACACCCACATCTACCTCTACCCTCATTTGTTGCACTCTGGGCCCATGAGCAAGGCCCTTAACCCTCCCAGCTGCTGTCTGGGCACCTTCGATGGCAGCCCTCTGCTTCACATGTGTGTGCTCACATGTGCAATGGGAAAAATGCAGATAATTAATTTCCCCATTGGGGATTAATAGAGTACAATGAATGAATGAATGAAACACTGAAAGTGGCCGTTGTGGCCACAGCCCACAGGAAAAAGAAAGCAAATCTAAACTTTTTTCAATTACAGTCAGACCTTGCAGGAATACACACGAATCTTGAGCACATTTGCACAATATACAGTCCGTACACGTGCGTGGTCGTCCTCCTGAGCCCTGAGCACTGTGTGCTTCATTGCTCCCCCCTTGTTTCTCTGTGGGAGTGATTTGTCGGTAAGGTGGGGGAGTTAACACTCTGATGAGCAAACAACAACAACACTCTACCCAAAAATACATTTGGTGCTTCACACCGTCTTCTTGTTTGCTTGATCACACCCGGTATGAGCTCAGGCTGACTGGAGATTGAGCAACTTGCACTGTGCCACTTGACGGCAACTCAAAACCCACATTGACATAAGGACCACGATGATAAAGCCACAGCGCATCCATCTGCTGTTTTTCTTACTGGAAGAGGCAAGACTCCTATTGTTCTGGGAAACGAAAGCTAACGTGTTTTGATGTTGTTTTTATGACAGATTTTGGAAAAGCATCTGGAATCGGAGCAACGAGCCGTTTTAGCCTGTTAGGGAAAGAACGGCGCGGTGGAAAGGACCGTCGTGAAGGAAGCAACCGATCGGGGCTCACGCCAGCCAAAGACTTCGTTCTGAGCTCATCTGGGACTCTGAGCAGCGGGCGGTGAGAGAAGGAGGCCATGTGGACCGCACGCCTGCTAGTCCTCGCCAGCCTCTTTGCACCAGCCGCTCTGGGTGAGTGTGGCTCATTAAACCAAGTGTTTGTCTCCTTTTGTGTCTATGTGAAATGTGCACATGTGGGCTTTAATTATTATTATTTTTTTGGTCATTGGCATGGCATGAAGCCGTGTCAGAATCATCCTTTTCTGTCAGCCAAGTGCGATGAAAGCTTCTGACTTCATCTTGTTTTCACCGTCTTTCCCTCGATAATTAGCAGGACTTAGGTTTTTTTTTAAACTTTTTGTTTAACCACTTCCTTTGCTGTCTTTTTTCCACTCCATTCTTCTCTCTCCTGACTCTGCCTTTTACACATTCATTTGAAATTACTTCTGAGGAATTACCACTACTTCTTTGACTTTGTTGCATACCTCTTCAGTATTATGACAACTTATACAACAATCCACGCATTAAAACCTGGAGATTAGTTTGTAAAATTTATTACATTAATAAACCCTTGTCTATGAGAAGCTTTCTCTTTATGTTCCTCTGGATTGTTTCAGGGAGAAGCAAATTAAGTCATTTAAATTCTGATTAAAAGAAGTGTTGGTGTGAGTGTTTTGGGGTTTGTACAAGGCCACGGTTTAGATGTTGGGAGTGTCGGGAGTGGGGCAATGGCCCATAAAATTTTTAATTTGGTATGGCTAAAACCATTAATGGGAGATTTCAGGCTAATTGAATTGTTTTTTTAGGAGGCAATACCTCTTGATCCCAGTGGCGACTGGGTTCACCATCCCCTGCTAATGATAGTACAATTCTCTAGCATCACTAGTTTTTCTTTAATGCCTCTAATAGAAATGGGTCAAGTCAGCACTTTGTCATCAGTCGTTTAGAGACTGCAATTGAGTAAAAATTGAGATATCGCCAGATTATAGTGTCCATAAGACCCATGAGGGACTGGGGCACATGAAAATGTAAATGAAAATTAGTTTCTGAATAAAATGACAGGTTCAGCATTCCTTGAAGGAATACGTATTGCCCGCCGCCTTTCTTGTCAAAGTTTTAAACAAAGATCGTACATGGAGTTGCAACCGTTTTGATCAACCTGTAATGGAAATTGTGCGATTCGGCATGATCTGTCAGCACATGAAATATAGGCATGTTTGTGTTGGCTACCATTGATTAGATGTATAGTTATCCATCCATCTATCCATCCATCCATTACGTTTACCTTCTTATTTCTTTTCGGGTCATCAGGGTCACTGTTGCCCATATCCAGCAGTCACTGTGCAAGAGATGGGGTACACCCAGAACAGGTCTCCAGTCCATCCCAGGGTCACATAGAGACAAACGAGACAAAAAAACTTTCACTCTCTCACTCACATCTTCAGTTAATTTTACTCCAAAAGTTAAAATCAGTTTTAGATGTCCGTCCAGTTATTACTTTCTGTAAGTTTTGGTAAAATTGGTCCAGTGGTTCTTAAGCATTTCACTAACAGACAAACTGCTTTGACCCCAACAGTTAATGCTAAATTTTTCACCAATAATGTAGCACAATGTATAGCACTCTTAAGTTTATGTTGGGGATGATTCACAGCTACAAACACAACAGATTTTATCTTAATATCTGTAAAGTTGGCCTAGTTATATCCTTTTTTGTTTGCTAAGGTTGCTTAGCAGTGGAAACATCTTGAATTGGGTTGATTCTACAAGTTGATTAGCTGTAGATGAATAGTGCATCTAATGAGTAATGTCTGACAGTTTAATCCATCCAGTGGTTCATGAGATATTTTGCTGACAGAGAAATAGACTCCCCCCACCACACACACACAATTGAAAAGAGTACAACTTTAAAATATTTACTTTTGCTCTGACATTTCTTGTGTAAATTTGTGCCTAAACAACAAAATTAACATAATAATAATGGGCAGTCGTGATTGAGTGCTTAGAGCAGTTGTCCTCCAATGAGTGAGTTGAGGGTTCGATTCCAACAGCAGTCACATGTTGAATTGTCGGTGAAGATTCTCAGTCATCCAGGACACGATGATGATGATTTGTATTGAACATTTTTGAATGTTGAAATGTCCCTGGGCAAGACACTGAACCCCTCATTTCCTCTGATGTATGTTTCACTGGTGTATGAATACGTTATAAAAAGTATCGATGTCTTTATAGAATGTTTTGTTCAAATTAGCTTTGTAAGGATGTAGAGAGAGGGTCAGAAAGAACTCCATTGTGTCTTTGTGGATTTAGAAAAAGCATATGACAGGGTCCCAAGGGAGTAAGTGTGGTATTGCATGAGGAAATCTGGAGTGGCAGAGAAGTATGATAGACTGGTACAGGACATGTATGAGGACAGCAGGGCAGTGGTGAGATGTGTATGATCTGTAGATCTGTAGGAGTGACAGATAGCTTCAAGGTAGAAATGGAATTGCATCAAGGATCGGCTCTGAGCCCCTTCTTGTTTGCTCTGGTGATGGACGACTAACATGAATCCCCGTAGACTATGATATTTGCATATGACATTGTGATCTGTGGTGAGAACAGGGAACAGGTGGAAGAGAACTTGGAGATGTGGAGGTATGCACTTGAAAGAAGTGGAAGGAAAGTCAGCTGTAGTAAGACAGAGTACATGTGTGTGAATGAGAGGAAGGCTGGTGGAACAGTGAGGCTACAAGGAGCACAAAGGTGCAGGACTTCAAGTACTTGGGGTCCACTGTCCAGGAAAATGGGGAATGTGGTAAAGAGATGAAAAAGAGAATCCAGGCAGGATGGAGTGGATGGAGAAAAGTTTCAGGAGTGATTTGTGATAAAATGGTGTGACAAGGATGGATAAGATTAGGAATGAGATCAGCAGAGGTACAGCACAGGTTGAACAACTGGGAGATAAAGTTAGAGAGGCCAGATTGAGATGGTTTGGACATGTCCAGAAGAGGGACAGTAGGGACAGTATATTGGTAGAAGGATGTTAGAAATGCAGCTGCCAGGAAAAAGACAAAGAGGAGATATATGGATGCAGTTAGAGAGGACATGGAGGTAGTTGGAGTGAGGACAGAGGATGCAGAGGACAGAGTGAGATGGAGGATGACGACTCAATGTGGCAACCTCTAAGGAGGGAAAGCTGAAGAAGAAGAAGAAAAAATATATATATTTGCTTTATTTCCACAAAATTACGAGATTGTGTTCATTTTGGTCTGGGCATTCATACCATCAAAATCTCACTTTGGTCAATGCTTTATCTCAGGTATATTCAGCAATCTTCTTCAATAACATTAATCAATAAATACTTTAACAAACAAAATTTTGGGGATTATTTGAAGATAATTTATGTCATATTCAATTTATTCATATTTAGAATAAGAACTTTGACCTCAAGTGTCTTTTTTTCTTGGTAATTTAGGACACAATGTACATACATTATGTGTTGAACAAGAAAGTCCGTCCTTTACTTGGACTGTTGGAGCCAAATAAAACCATACGCCCACCCATCCATCCATTTTCTTTTCCTGCTTCTGCTTTCCGGGTCACTGGTTCCCTTTTTGCCAGCAGTCACTGGGCGAGAGGTGGGTTACACCCTGGACAGGTCTCCAGTCCATCACAGGAGTGAAGGGACACAGACATAAATGAGACATAATCATTCACTGTCACTCACATCTAGGGACAATTTAGAGTTACCAATCAGCCTAATATGCATGTTTTGCTCTGTGGTAGGAAACCGGAGCACCCGGAGAAAACACACACGAGGAAAACAAACTGCACCCAGAAAGGCTTCTCCCCCATTCTGCCCCAAATGATATAATTTCTGATTGAGAAACATGTACAGTATATCAATGTAAAGTTGTCTGGAAAACTGCTAACCACTGTAGGATAAACCAACCTCATAAGAAAGTTCCTTAGTGCCTGAGAAAAGCGGTTGAAATGCCTTAACTGTGAACAACCTGTTTACTTAATGGGATTTTTGCACGTTTGTGCCCATTAAAATAAAATATCGCTTTTTTTTTATTGTCATTTCCAAACATATTTCTACTTTGCAGACTGTTGTTTTAGTTGATTTTAGTAATGTCTAAAGGTTGTGGTGTGGACAGTCATCAGTCTAAACAGCCGTTTGATCCATTTGGAGAATGTGCAACTGCATTAGTGATTCATCATAAATCCACTGAAACATGATAAAACATTGTTACGGTCTCATAATTCAGTCATTTTGCGCTCTTAATCATCCATCCATTTTTTCCATACAGACTGATGACATCGAACTGACAAACCGTTTGAGTTCCTGTGGTTTTCTGAGATGGAACGAATGCCCTAAAGAAACCACAACTGAGCATTTTCTACGAGATTAAGTGGTTGCCACATTGTAAATAATGTGGCATCTTTATTAGGAAGAGTGATTTGACACCCGACCCAACCATGACGCTATAAGCAGATACAACCAGATGTTTGTGGGGAAGTTCTCTGTAGCTGGGGAATCTTTAGAGACAATTTTCACCACAATGCCATTTTGTGTGATTCTGTCAGAAATGTGTTGACAAGGGGTAGTCTGGGGAGGATGGCCAACTTTAGTTCTATACTACCATTTTTTCACTGTATGTGTCATCTCTAATGGGTGTTAGACACAAACTAGCTTACACACCATCTTTAACAACTACTAACCATCACAAATGCTCTAACTGATTGGCTGGTAACCGTTATTGCATGTTTTAGTTTGACCGATGTCCAGATTCTTTTTTCCTTCAGATATGTCATTGCACTGTAGCTGAGTGGCAATCAAAAATATGTCTGTGAATGCATCATATCTAAGTGTTAATTCATGTTAGCATTAGATTATCATCCTTGTAAAGATTTTTAATTCAATTCAATTCGGTTTATTTATATAACGTCAAGTCACAACAGAAGTTGTCTCAAGGCACTGTACAAAAACATTCACATACATAAAAATGAAAATTAGTAAAAGGTATTTATCTAAGGAAGCCAGTACACTGTGTTGAATCTTCACTTCGTTGCAGTCTCCCATTCTGAGCAAGCACATTGGCAACAGTAGAAAGAAAAAACTCCCTTTAACAGGAAGAAACCTCCAGCAG